AGTCTAGTCCGACCCTTTGCGACCCCATGGACCACCAGGCCCTCTTGTCTTCTGCCGTCCTCTGAAGTTGGCTCAATTTCATGTTCGTTGCATCGATGACACTGTCTAACCATCTCATCCTTTGCCGTCCCTGTCTTCTTTGACCTTCAATCTTTCCCAGCATCAGGGTCTTCTCCAGTGAGTGCTCCTTTCTCATTTGGCGGCCAAAGTATTTGAGCTTCAGTTTCATTATCTGGCCTTCCAGGGAACAGTCAGGGTTGATTTCTTTTAGGATTGACTGATTTGATCTTCTGGCAGTCCAAGGGACTCTCAAGAGTCTTCTCCAGCACCATAGTTCAAAAGAATCTATTCTTCGGCGCTCGGCCTTCCTTATAGTCCAACTCTCATAGCCATACATGACTACTGGGAATACCATTGCTTTGACCATGTGGACTTTTGTTGGCAGGGTGATGTCTCTACTTTTTATCATGCTGTTTAGGTTTGCCATCACTTTCCTCCCAAGGAGCAGGCGTCTTTTAATTTCATGGCTTCTGTCACAGTCTGCGGTGATCTAGGATCCCAGGAACGTGAAGTCTGTCACTACTTCCACAACTTCCCCTTCTATTAGCCAAGGAGTGATGGGGCCGGATGCCATAATCTTAGTTTTTTTGATGTTGGGCTTCAAGCCCACTTTTGCGCTCTCCTCTTTTACTCTGAGCAAGAGGCTCTTAAGGTCCTCTTCACTTTCTGCCATTAGAGTGGTATGGTCTGCATATCTGAGATTGTTGATCTTTTCCCCAGCAATCTTAATTCCCATTTGTGATTCATCCAGGCCAGCATTTTGCATGATGTACATCATGCGAAATTCAAACAGACAGCTGACAAAATACACAGATTAATCCATCAGCCGCATTAAGAGTAGATGGTTTTGGATCAGTCTCCTCATTACTTGGTATAAGAGGGAACAGCGCTTGGAGAAAGTGGGAAGAGAACAATGGCAGGCCTACTACTGTTTGGGTCATCCCTTTCACCCTAGACCATATAGTTCACAGCACTGAGGTACAAGAGACCAAAAAAGGAACATCTCACAAGCAGCAGCACAAAACCTCATGCTTTCATAGGTGAGAAACTGTGTACTGCTCAAGGAAATAGGGCATGCAATGCAGCATAAAATGCAGAGAAGTTTTAGAAAGGGAAGCTGTAAAAGCAATAAACAAAAAACACAAGCACTGACCCAGGAGCCAAAAGCAATAATGGTTGCTAATCCCTGCCTCAGAAAAACAAGGGGAGACAGAGCAGACCATGTATGTTGCAGGCTATGTTCCCCCTAAGCTCCACAGTGTTGTGAGGAGAAATTTTACCTTGTGAGCGAAAAGAGCTAGTAGCATTAAAGTTGTGAGTCTACATTTGACTATAGTGTAAATTAGTTTTTTTATAAGATTACTTCCATAACCTTGTAAAAATCTCAGAATGAATTCTTTTAAATTATATAAACTATATTTTAAGAATAATTTAGACTTTGTTATAGGAAACATTATCGTCAAACTTCACCCACCCCTTTCCACTATATTGGTAGACCTGTTCTCTGAAGAACAGGTCCACCTGCCCCAGTCCACTATATTGGTAGACCTGGCCTCGGACTGTCACCCTGCGGCTGTGCCTTAGAAAACATACCAGCATGGGGTGGCCCTCTTGCATTCCTCTTTGTTTGTTTTTTAGTGAAATATGACAACCAGCATTACAGGTCAAGTATAACAGAGGAGGAACAATCACTGTCAGAACCCTGCCTAACCTAACAAACAGGAAGTTGTTTAAATGTTATCAACCTGCCCAAACTACTTATTTATTCAAATATTTATATCACACTTTCCCCTGTGACTCAAAGCAGCTTACAAATCATACTGAAAAGCATAATCAGGGTGTGCAAAAAAATTGTTTCCCCCCGGCTCCATTGTAGCCTATGGGGACCATTATAGCATAACTGTTGGTGCCTCTCCTCAACCCCCTTCCCCCAAAGTTTCAAAAAGATTGGACCAGGGGGTCCAATTCTATGGGCCCCAGAAGGAAGTGCCCCCATCCCCCATTGTGTCCAATGGAGGGGGAAATGGCTTGTGGGCCGAAAGCAGTAATCATTACACTGCCTGTTAAAATTTTGTGCACCAGTGCCCCCTAGCACAGTTTAGAAGAAACTGGTGGCAGGGTAAATACCATTTTCCCCTGCCTCAACCATGAACCCTTCCAGACTACAGTCTGTGAACATCTTAAGGGGACAGAGGTCAATTTTACCAAGGATCATACCTAAGCAATGCAAGATCCTTATGCACTAATCATGCCCAAAATTCAGAAGCCTTGGAAAAAGTGGAGAGCTAGGCATCAAGACAAGTGGAGGTTGCAAGAGAAACTAACCAAAAATGCCTGGTTTTGTTGGATGTTCTCCCCAGATCATTAGTTAAGGCTTCCAAGATATCTTAGAAACCTGAAGAAAAGTCTCAAATCTCATAACCCCCCCCCCCCAAGGGGCAATAGTTGCATTTGTCATGGCAGGGAGGTAAAAGCATGGTGACCCTCTTCTCCAGACTTTTTAACCAATTAGTGAAAAAGAATAGAGCCACACAAATACAGACAACCCCAGACTTACCAAAGGCCCTGGCAGATAGAGAAGATGAGATAGCCCTATTCAAGTCCAGCAGGATCTCTGGTGTGGCCATCTCAGTTTCTGACACAGTTCATGTGTTTGCTAACACAACTATCAAGGGTATAAGAACTGTTAGCTCTGATCTGCAAGGTAAGAAGTTCCTTCAAAAATTGCCCCTTATAGTCATTTTTAGTTCAACCAACTTCTCTGATTTTCTGTAGTTTTCTTAAAGCCCTAGCTTCTTGCCTAACTGTCAGATGGTACCTCTTGGGTACATCAGAGCAATGTATAGCTCAAATCCAGGTCCCGTCTAGCCACTCCTCACTCTGGAGTTGAAAATAATAAGAAGAGAAGAGATTGGATTTATACCCCACCAAAGGGGTCTCAGGAGTCTCAGGGCGGCTTACAAACTCCTTTCCCTTCCCCTCCCCACAACAGACACCCTGTGAGGTAGGTGGGGCTGAAAGAACTCTCTTTCCAGAACGGTCTTTGAGAGAACAGCTCTGACAGAACTATGGCTTGCCCAAGGTCATTCAGCAGCTGCAAGTGGAGGAGTTGGGAATCAAACCTGGTTCTCCCAGATTAGAGTCCGCACATTTAACCACTACACCAAAACCTAAACCCACTTCAACTTGTCCAAGTAGAGAAGACATGGAACATTTCTTTTTACTATGCTATTTTTAATTTGTATGCAGTTTTTATGGAAAGGCACATTCAGAGCTGGAATTTGTAGTCTTCATCTTAAAACTCTGTTACCTTACCATTCTGCATATCTGAACCATCCCAAAATGTTGACTGTGCAAGAAGTTTGGAGAGGGCTACTAGAAACTCTAGAAAAATGCTTTTTAGAGATCACACTGCAACAATAGTTTTAAGTGAGGGGAAAAGGCGTGGTACACCATTCAGCAATCTCACATTACATTTTCTTTGGAGTAACTATAATAGCCTCTTGTGAGAGAGGACATGAAACTTCCTGTATATGAGATTTCAGTCCTGTTTTATTTCTCCACAGTTTTCATGTAATACAATTGACCTCCCCCGTAATTATGAAAGTAGCTTGAGAGCTGTTATCTCATATTCCATAAAGAAAACAATCTTGAAAAAATTCACAGTTGGAAGTGGTTTCTCAAGCTACAGAATGTGAAGATTTTTACAGATCAGTCACAAACAAACTTTTCCCCCTGTGAGCTGAAGATTTACATTCTGTCCTCAATTGATTTCCTTAAACATAGTCTCTGAATCATAACACCTCCATATTGGGACCCAGCATGTTACAGGGGAAGTTACTTGAAATCTTACGGTGTAGGCGTCTTGATATTCCTCTACTTGTCAGCCACTATGACTTATTTGCTAAGCATTTTGCAAATAAAGTTGCTGGTATTCGATCCAACATGGATACAACTGTTGAGCCAAAAGTGCCCACCATAGTGTCGTCTTGCTTGCTGTTTATTTGGTCAGAGGAAGAATCACCTGGGCATATAGGCTGAGTGCATGGAGAGAATGGGTGACCAGATGTGTTCTCCATTTTTACCTGTCCTGATAAAATCTAGCCGGGAAACAGATTGATTTAAATAATTCTTTCCTGGTATTTGGCATTAACTTGGAGCTGGAGATGTTCTGGTAGTCAGAGAAGTTCTCAAGAAATGGTTCCACCAGAGGCTGGTGACTTTGTTTTGTAGGATTTGGCTTTAATGAAATCAGCTTAGGATCTCTCCACCTTCACAGTGCTAATAAGCAAGAGGTAACAGGAATACTTGAACCTAGTGCACTTTGCAGAAATTGCTGCAAGGAGAAATACAACTCTACGTTTTGCTTCAGAAGCATACTGTGGGATTATCTGAGGCTGAAACTGAGGCTGTCAGAAGAAAGGGAGATGGTTGCCAGACACACCTCCCATTGTTCTGGGACCCAGCTTAAAAAATATAAAATCCCTCCAACCACCAGCATATTGCATCTTATAGTTTAATTGCCATGAGCCACTTTGAGAGGCAGTTTTTGGCTATAAGGCAAGATAAAAATAGAATGGGCTTTTTGAGGCAGGAATGTCCACACACAGGGCAAATCTGTGTATGTGTGTATTTTCTCAGTCCATCGCAGAATTTGTTCCAGATAAATTCTAGAGAGAGCTTCGGGGACCAGTTTAATATACTGTAAAATGCTATGATAACCTGATCATCAGTGGTCAAACATTGTTCATTTTTCTTTGTAGAATGGATGCTGCGTGTAAACATACCCTGTTTGCTTGAGGCTTTGTCATAAGATTAAAAACAGCTAGGATTTTAGCATAGCTGCATCAGAGGAAAAAAGAGCTGCCATGCAATGTTGTTACTGGGGAAGATTTGTCTCTAACTTTTCACATACATTATACATGTTCTCTTTGTTTCAGAGCCATAATCAACCACTTCAATCCAAAGATAGAGTCTTATGCTGCTGTGAATCACATCTCACAGCTGTCAGAGGAGCAGGTGAGTTGCATACTTTTTTTGTTTGTTGGACATCTGACTGATTCCTTAAGGTGCCCTGAAGGTTTGACCCCGCCCCCCAGTTGGCTGACACCTTCCAGTAGCCCTAATGCTTACTAAACAATTAAGTGGGACTTGTACATGGTCCTGAGAGGTCAGTAGCATGGCCAAGGTTATTCATCCAAAATTGCAAGAGTAAGCAGGAGGGTCAAGGTGATCCCTCATATGGAAATATTTGCTCTCAGTAATTGGTAGCTTTGGGAATATGCAGTAAGGTCCTGGCAATAAGTTATCTAGCAAATGAGAGAATCACATAGAATCCTACCTCAGTGGAGAGGTGAAGGGTTGTTAGAACATATGCAGTAGCTGACTGAGTTCACTGAGTCCTGAACAAATGTTTAAGTACATTTCTAAATGGAAAGGTTTTTCATAAGGAGATCAGTTAGGGTTAGGTTTTAACTTCTTATAGTTCAGTCTGATTTCTCCACTTTCTGTGCATAAGAGATGTAGAAGTGTATAAATTGGTCTGCCTGGAAGTAAAATAATTTGAGGAGGGGAAAAATTAGTGGCCTTGTCCAATTTAATACTTTTACAGAGAGGCAAATGAGCCTTAAAAGAATCACTGAGCTGCAAGGGGCTTTAGAGGCCCCGTTCAGTACAGGAAATCCAAAGCTAGAGCATGAATCTGCATATGACATGTATTATAGCAACACCTGTAGGGTGTAAGTACATGAAAGAGCATCCCAATTCCTTTTGGTTTCCACTAGTATAGTTGTCACTGCAGAAAGAGTTCTGCCAAGCTCCAGACATATAATTTGCTCAACTCAATTTGGTGGCTGCACCACCTACTATGTTCTATGAGGTTGTATTTTATGGTTCCCAGTTCATCTTCTCAGTGTTGATTATATCAGCCTATGCTTTAAAAAAAAATCCCTTTCAGCATATGCAGTAATTGAAAATGGGGCTTGGCTGTAGGAGGCTTCCTAGCCACCCTCAGCTTAGTCTGTTAGTTTAAGAAAGGGAAGCCGCCTCTACTTGTCGGTGCAGTGGAGCGTTCATCCCCAAGCAGTTCAGGGAGGTTATGCCGAATCCTTTCTTTGCTGTCTGCCTGTGCTTTAAATAAAACCCTGAGCAGCAGCAGGCGTCAGGTAATGAAATCAGCTCTGATGCACGGAGCAGTTTGAGGAGAGATTATTAGGGAGCTGGCAAGTGGTTTGATTTCTTCTTTCAACGGGAGGCATTATGCCGAAGTAGAAGAAGCATCAAAAGACAGCAAAGCTGATGGAGCAGAGGCGGGGCTCAAGAGAAGCACCAAAGGAGACTGCATCAAGCGTTTGCCCGGTTCAGTTTCGAGCATGAAAGTAGTTCTTGAGTGGGGAGGGAGTATTCTCTGTTCACATTCTCATGTTTATTTTTCTTCATACCTCTTTGCTGGTATTTGTGCACTCTCTTGGCTATTTCTTGTTTGCCTTTTTTTAAAAAAACGGGATTGTCAACTTTCTGGGAAAGATGATCCCAGCTGATTATGTTCATTATGAATTAGCAGTGCTGACATCATTGAGGGCAAAGGAAGCCAACTGCATTTCCCCCATTGTGAATGGTTATCAGACAGCAATGGATGTGAGGCAGGGAGTGCGTCTCTGTTGCCAAGACAACCAGGCTGGCAGTGCCTGTCTTGTGACACTGTGCTGGAACGGTTTCATGCCTTCCTTTACAGTTGCCATTTGCACACAAGAGGGCGAACACTGTAGATCCATTTTGCAGTGCCTTTCAAAAAGGAAAAGGAAATGCTGAAGGGAGGTGTGCTTTTGTATCTTCCAAAAACGTGTTGGTGAGGGTCTTCTACTTTTTGGCCCAGTCTTAGTCTTATAGACAACCACTATAGGAAAGTCTTAGACCTACCTCTGTAATAAGAGAATAAGAGGCATGGAATCAATCTGAAGATAGGAACCAGCTGTATTTTTGAGTGCTGTATTGGCTAAATTTTTCTTATTTGCTATGCTTTTAACCAGTCAATTGACAGATTAAGAAGGTAAAATATGTATTTAAGTGCTTTGAAATAACAGCTTGACTGAAGAATACAACAGACTGCTAATGGTTTGAGAGCGCGTGTTAAATACATTGGCTAAATCAAAAGGGGCACAAAGTTTTTGGGCAACAAAGAACGTCCTTTTTCAGAGGACAGTTCCAATTAAAAATTGATTACCAGTCTAATGTAGTAATCTGGAAATGATCAAGAATCCATGTGTGGAGCTGGCTGTTTTCATTGAAGGGCCATTAACACCTTGATGTTTTACTAATTAAACCCACTAGTCCTAGTATTCTGGGTAGAGCGCTACAACTTCTAGATTTGTTTAGTGAAAGGACAACAGCTCTTCACTTGTGACTGAGCTCTTTTTTTAGCCCAGGACATGCAGACAGTTGCACAAAGCATCTGTTACAGCCAGTTCTTGTGGTTCAGTTAGCATGATTCTAACTGTGACCTTATTGTGGTTTGTCCACACTGTAGGCATTCCCTATTATGTGAGTTGCTTCATTTTGCTTGCTGTATATTTGCCTTCTGACATCTATTCTTTGTTCTGATGTGAATTTTGTTTTGTGCTCTACCTAGTTCAGGAGAGCAATGGACTTGACCCTCAGGGGGTGAGTTTGCTGATAACTTTCCTAAATGGATGATTTTCCCAGTGCATAGTGAAAGTCGTGCAATTGCACAGCACCAGAATAAGCAGTACTGTAACAGTCTTCAAATGATTTGTGTGGCATATTTAGACAAGTCTATACATTCAATTGAGAGTGATCATACAGATTTTTAAAGCTGCTGTAGCAATACAGATGTGTCATGATATACACAGGTAATCAATGTTGCATTATTATACTGGACAGTTTATTCACTTCATGCCCATATTCCCCTGAGTTAATAAACTCTTTCATTGCTGTGAGGTGTGCCTGTAGACCCTCCATTAATGCTCATGATGTGATTGTGATGATGTGAGAAGCAGTACTGACTCTTCTATAAGGCTGCTGTTTTGTTTTCATTTTTTTTTGCTTGCATTGTTTCCTTTTATTTCAGACTTGTTTTAACAACTAATTTAGTGTTGTACCATTTGCAAATCCCCCTCCCCTGTTTCATGATCTAAAATGCTCATGTGAAGCTGTTCTCTGTAAATATGGGAGTATATATGTCTCCAACAACAAATAAATAGCACAGCTGTTGAGTGGTTCTTGTTGATGCTTAAGCAGGAATGAACAGATCTGAGCTTTCCTAAGCCCCTGCTAGCATGTTTTACAGTCAAAGGTCAGATTTTATACCTACGCATGCCATTCAGAAGTAACATTATACACATGTACTTTGTACTTGGAAATAGTTTTCAGAGTACACCTGAAGCAGCTTTCATTGCTAATGTGCAACTGGGACATTATATAATACCTTCACTTTAGAATTTGGAACTTACATCTAAATGTGACTGTCATCTTAAAATTTTATCTCCTGTTATCCAGGGTTTGCTGACAGCTGATATTAACCTGCTGAAGTGGTGTTTATATTTTTAATATGCACTGTACCAGTGTACAGTTGGAGTAGCACACAGGAGTTGCATAATAGGTTTTGACAACTGTGGAGCAGGCATATGACGACATTAATTGTATCCAAGAAATATCCTTTATTAACTACAAGAGAGAAAGAGAGAGAGAGAGAGAGAGAGAAGAGTTAAGCCTCAAAGCAATTGCTTTAGTGCTTTTTAGTGGTACCCATTAAATTAATGTATCTGACACTGTAGACAAATACCATGGGAACAAGACTGAACAGCTAGGAGAGCCATTCAAAGATAGGAATGGTTATGACGTTTTAACTTCTTATCTTCCAGGAGGAATTTACTTGCCCTTGATTTCCTAACGGCTTCATAAATGCATGCAATTTCTCATTCAGTTATGGTTTAATTACATGGACAAATTGTGGCTACTTAGGGCGGTGTGTGTGTGTTTACTTTGGTCACTGGGCTTTCTTCATAGAGGCGACAGAACAAAGTTTGAGTCCAGTGGCACCTTTAATACCACCAAAATTTTATTCAAAGTGTAAGCTTTCATGTGCAAAGCAGACTTCTTCAGACAAATTGGAATAAAATCTCCTCAAGAGATACTTACAGGAAAAAAGAGAGTAGGGGTAGCCGTTAGGAGGGGCCACTCAAAGCCAAGATGCGTATGCAGAGTGGAAATTGGATCAGGTGGCCGGTAAGATCAATGGATGGCAGCAAATTAGCATGTAAATGAAAGAGTTAAAAAAGGGATGTGAGAATGAAGCTTGAGTCCATTCTAAAGGAATGCCTATATGGCTAACAATGCAAGTCAAGGAAGCTATACAAAGCAAAAAGGCTTCTTTTAAGGAGGTCTGCCCCAATGAATTGAACAGAAGGAACCACAGGCACTGGCAAAAGAAATGCAAGTTTAGGCATATGAGAAGAGAATTTGAAGAGCCAATCGCTAAAAGCATCAAGAAAAACAATAAAAGTTTATTTATATATATCCAGAGCAGGAAACCAGCCAGAGAAGTAGTTGGGCCTTTGGATGACCAAGGAATAAAAGAATTGCTAAAGGAAGATGGTGAGAAGGCAGAGAAGCTCAATTAGTTTTTTGCATATGTGTTCACTGTAGAAGGTGAGGGGCATATACCCACACACCACAGCAGTTTGAAGAAATGAGACACATTAAGATGAAGTTCTAGACCTATTGAGGAAATTAAAAACTAATAAGTAACCAGGGCCTGATGGCATACACCCAAGACCTCTTAGGGAACCCAAGTGTGAGAGTTGATTTACTAACCCATATATGTAACTTATCTCTAAATTCAGCCACTGTACCAGAGAGTAGCAAATGTTACACCAATTTTTAAAAAGGGATCCAGAGGGGAATCGGGAAATTACAGGCCAATTAGGCTAAAGTCGATCCCAAGCAAATTAGTAGAAACTGTGACCAAAGAATTATTAGCACATAGAGGAACAATGCCTGCC